AAACTTGTCCCTCTTCGTTCGGTCTTCAGGCCTTTCTTCGCCGGAGAGCGGTCCTTCCTCTAACCTTGGTCCTGACCGGCCCGCAGCCTGCTCAAGGTCCTTGAGGCAGCGCGCGGCGCGGTCGAATTTATCATCGATGCTGCCCCTTGTTATGGCCAGAGTCTCCAGGGCTTGATTCGCGTCTCGCCGCGCTTCGTTGGCGGCGAGCTGCAGCGATTCGAATACCTCCGGCTCTCGGCCCTTGGTCGCATCGGTTAGCGAATTCTCGACGAGAACCACGCGAGCTGTCAGCTCTTCCAACGCGGCGTGGAACTCTGAGGTTTGCAACTCCAGTTGCTTGTGCACGAGGGCTAATTCATCCTCGAGATCCTTCTTCGTCTCCTGGCGATTTTCGCCAATCATCTTCTGTAACCTGGTTTCCAGGTTATCCTTGTCGGCTTCAATCCCGGTCGGGGATTCTTGACCTTCGGGATCCGTGGCCGTATTGGCCTGGCTTCGGGTGCGAGGACCTCGCGGGATCCTCGACACCCTTGCCGATCCGCTTCTGCTCGCCCCGGGACCGACGTCTCCGGGGGCGATTGTCGACATGGTCCGTCACAAATGAACGAACTTAAACAAAACAAAAAAGAAAGAGAACACTACAATACGTCAAATAAACTTACGTCACCGAGACCGATTATGTACTGCGTCTCCATGCACGCAGTTTCTAGGTCGGGTCTCCTGTACACCTAATTCTAGGTCGGGAGACCACTTTTGTAGTGCAATGTGCCTGGCAGGCCGCCAACACAGTCCGATGGTCAAAAAAAAAGAAGAAAAACAGAAACAGAATCAACCACTGCCGATGGCACTCGCTACGGACCGTTCGAGACTCCCTTTCCCCTTGTGCGGGCTTGCGGCCCACGGTAGCTCAACTCTAACGGGGGGGTGAGGAAAGATGCCCGGCCCGGGAGGATAATGGTGGTAGAGGCTTGTGCAGACTTGAGTGCTCGGCGAGTGTGGGTTGGGCTTGTTTACGAGAATGTAACCGCGGTTCGCTGGGTTGTAAGGCCAATGCTCGACGAGCGTCTTCAGCACCTTGCGTATGATTTAAGGTCTTCGACGGGGGCTCGATTAGCACTACCAGATGGGAAAGTAACTATGTAGCAACGCTACAACCAACGTGTTGCTCGATGGCATAAAACCGACACCAATGCGATCGCAACCGCGGTTGGTGGTACCAACACTGTCTTGTATGATAAGACCTTCGAAGGAGGCGTCGTGGCAACAGCCTTCCGACGAAACAGGACACTGTAGCAGCGCTACGACCTACGTGCAGCCCGATGGCAATCACACCAACACCGGATCGGTCGCGACCGACTCCAATGGAACCAACACAATTAAAGGAAAAATAGAGGTGGAGATAGAAAAGGATAGGAATTAGAGATAGAAAAGGTAAAAGAATAAGGAAAAGGGGACCTCGAGCAATAGAGGATGTCGTTAGCAGCGTAGAAGTGAAGCGCGTCGCGTGAACGGAAGCGGTCTTCGACGAAGGCGAGATCTAACTCCGGCAACTTGGGTTACCTTTACTCACTTGGGTTGGTAACTGGACTATGCTATATAGCCCCGCCGGGGCGAGTACAGTAGCTCCCGGCTCTAGATTCTAGATCTAATTTGTAAATAGAATTAAATAATTAAAATAATCGTGCGCATCGTTGCACACGTGTGTCCTCCAGCCCGGACCACAGTATCCAATTTTTTCCTTTTCTCACTTCCTTTCACCCCCCTACTCGAGACGGGTATTGCACTACAAAGACGGTGCGGGTGTGGGACGGTGAGTCTGGGTTTCAGGGAGGGTCTTAACTTGCCCGGGTTTGCTTTGCTTGCCCGAGTTTGCCGGTCATTTATTAATTTATTAATGTAAGTACACGCCTTCCCCTTACGTTAGTAGTGGACAGGTGTCCTTTCCCTTACGTTAGTAGTGGACAGGTGTCCCAGAGCGACGGTGCTGACTTTCAGAGGCATACAGCGCCATAAATTGCCAGAACGCAACGGGGAGGACACTGTGGGTTCTACAAATTCGCTCCGAGGACGCATCGACAGGGACGTGACATGCTGCAGCGTCAAACAACTTCGCCCCAGGGACGCGTCGACATGGACGCGAGACGCTGCAGCGTCGCTCGCTTCCGACCCAGAACGTGGCCATTGCGGGTGATCCCAGATCACCGGGATAAATAATTGATCTCACCCCCTACTTCTCTCCTTACTACTCCGCGGGATAGCGTATCTATCGCCGGCGCTGTTTGGTCAAAAAACGGATCTACAACCACTGCCCAGTATCGCCGTTCGCCTCCCCTCCTTTCTTCTCAATCTAATCACTCCTACGCAATGCACGGCAATAGAATCATCACTGCTACGACCGCACTAACCGCAACCGCAGCTCTATTCTCCCTCCTTTCATTGCACCAAGCTATTTCAAACTATCCTCGACCCCGAAAATTCACAAAGCCCTTAGATCTCGGACGGGGATGGACTTTTGTCAGAGCCATCAGGATTTTTAACGACAAAGAATTCAGTCGTACATACCGTATGGAGGGGGGGATAATATTTGGTCAGAAACGTCCGCTGCAGACGAGGAAGCAATAGTGAGAGACTTTGCGTTGGTGGCCCCCGTCTTCCGAATGGTGGGAGTCAGAGAGATGCGCCAGAGGCGCGGAGAACGGCGCACGTGGCATTGAGGTGTGGAAGCCATTTTCAGGAAAGTAGTCGGCAGAGAGGTGCTTCGTAGAGTTGGGTTGCCTTTGCGAGATGGCAGGTGCATAGATTTTTGCAAAGGGGGAATTGAGGATGTTTTCGGCAAGGGGCAAGCACTGCGTCCACCGGAGCACAGCGTCCAAATTCGAAAGTTACAAACTTACAAAAGTAGCCAATATATGATTGACATTTGTCATTACACACTGACATAACTTGAGCTTGCAGTGTAGGGTCGTACTTGGTTTCAAACCATATATTAACGCCCAGTAGCCAATAGTAGTGCAAATCATGGCTCGGGGCAAGCAAACCCGGGCAAACTCGGGCAAGTTAAGACCCTCCCTCAAGTCGGGGAAACAATCACCGAACACATGCACTTTGTATCGAGCGTGGCGATGAGCGGGGACGGAAAACGGGTTGTGTAGGGATCATGGGACAAGACGGTGCGAGTGTGGGACGGTGAGACGGGGTGTCAAGTCGGGGAAACAATGGCCGGACACACGAATACGGTAACGAGCGTGGCGATGAGCGGGACGGGAAACGGGTTGTGTCGGGGTCATCTGACAGAACGGTGCGGGTGTGGGACGGTGAGACGGGGTTTCAAGTCGGGGAAACAATGACCGGACACACGAATTGGGTAACTGGCGTGGCGATGAGCGGGGACGGGAAACGGGTTGTGTCGGGGTCAGAAGACAAGACGGTGCCGGTGTGGGACGGTGAGACGGGGTGTCAAGTCGGGGAAACAATGACTGGACACACGGATTATGTATCGAGCGAGTAGGGGAGCGGGGACGGGAAACGGAGCGTGGGGATGAGCGGGGACGGAAAACGGATATGGTCTTGGGAGAAAGCTGATGGAACAGTGCTGGGGTGGAAACAGAGGTCGAGTATGTTGGATATGTCGATGGGTGAAAGCGGTATGTGGGTGCTGGAAACTCGCGGCATTTGTAAGGTGAGCGACAAGATAATTCACAAACAGGGCGACGGTTCCGAAATCACACTGGCCCACCTCGAATGTGAGGCAAATGACTTCGCGGTGAATACGGAAGTTGAGACTGTAGTTGTTGGAATGGCCGACGGCTCGGTTGGTGTCATGTCGGTTATCAGTTCTGAACATGGAGTGTGAGACTGTAGCTGTTGGTATGAGAAACGGCTCGTTCGGTATCATGTCGGTTATCAGTTCTGATGATGCATACTGGTAGGACGGTGTGCTCTATGAGTTGGGTAGATTATGTCGCGATTAAACGGTAGCGAGAATGTATTCTGCTTGTGCTCCTGATGCCTGTGAGTCAATGTCCTTACCGGGGTCGCGGTGGTTGTGATTCTTTCTCTAGGCTTTCGCGCAAGGGGGAGCCGAGTCAGGTGACGGGCTGTCGTACAGTCGGGCCGCATCCCTGATCTTTGTTCAAACGTTGAGCATGCCGTGGTGTTCTTCCAGTTTGTTTGGATCTGTGTTACCGAACGGTTGCGATGCGATGACTGCCGTCCCGACGTCCCGGAAGAGTCTCACATAAACTTTACCCGTACGATACGTGACGGTGGATTGGAAACGTACACGTGTTGAACGGCGCAATATCGCAATTTCGTCGCTGAACACTCGATCCAATTTAATTCAAAAAAACCGCCAGAATACGTTATTCGGTCAAATCTTATCCTCCTGTTCGCGTCCGTGGCGCGCTGCATGCCACCAGGATCAAGCTTCGTCATCATGTTGGCCCCACTCCGGTCTGTCGAGGCTACGATCACGGTGGAGCTCCTTTGTTGCGAGGGAGAAAAAAAATCTCCGGAATAAAGGGACATCGCGCTTTGCCGGCAGGTGCTTATAGAAGAGGAAGGCCCAACTAGTAGGTGCGTAGCGAGTCACCGCCGCAAGTCAGCAAAGAGCTTCGATCGCTCTCCCCCCCCCCCCCCCCCCCCCCCCCCCCCCCGATTCCCGTCACCGATCACCGAAGAAGTGACAGGTCGGGCGTGAGCAGTTCATTCACCGCACCGCAGTACTGCGTGCCACGGGGCGGCGGCGGTACATCCTCCGCCTCGCCCACTTGCAGCATGAAGCCCATCCCCATTTCCAAATGCCTGTGCAACCAAAACGAACAAGAGAATAGTCCAGAGGTTAGCCATCTACTTGTCGCACACATGCTGCCGCTGCGATTTGTCTCGCCGAAGAGCACCCAACTTACGCAACGATATGGCAGTCTGCACCAGCCATCGCACACAAAAGCACAACCCAAACATAATCACGAAAACAGACGGACCAGTTAGTTCTCATTCCCTCAATCCATTCCCTCCACCGCGCGCACGCGCGCCCCAAACTTACGGAAAAATATTATCCCCGGGTTATCCGCCTTGAGGCGTACAACAGTCCACCCGCCCGGGTACAGCGTGAACGTGTTGCGGCTGACGGGGTATCTCAAATCGTACGACGCGCGATCGCGGGGCTTCCACGTCGTCTGATAGTCGCCGTATGCTAGGACCCAGAAATTGTGCATATGAATATGCCTGTGAAGCAGCGGGGAGAAAGGTTAGAATCTGGATTGGGGTTCGCATCGCGCCTGTCTCGCGAGTTGCACGAAAACGTACCACGGGTGTACTTCTTCAGCGCCGTTCAACGCCCGCGTGTTCTGGAACACGATGTCCACGACCTCATCCTTGCGCAGCTTGATGACATGCGTGCCTGTCTTCGTCGCTGTGGACAGATTGAGGTCGCCGAGCGTCTGGTTGAAGTCGAACTCGTTAGGGATGCGGCTCTGCTCAATCCATTGCTTCGTCTCCTCGCGAAGCCCAAACTGCATGGCGTGCAGCAGCGGCGTGGGGCGCTTGATGAAAGAAATGTTGTTGACCGCCCACAGCAGCGTCCCGTCCGCCTGTTGGTTCTGCGTGCCGAGGATGGAGAGCTGCCGAGTCGCCGGCGGGAGGTCCACGGGGAAGCGCGACTTGAAGCGCCGCACGTGGCGCAGAGACCATTCGATGTCATCGCGTTCTGGGGCGCGCCGCGGCGTGCGCATCGGCAGCGTCGCATTGGCGTCTGCTGTGGAATAGCGCAGAATGGCCAGCCCTTCCTTGTCGCTGCCCCGGTGGCGGACCGTCGTGCGGATCCAGAAAAGGCCTGCGTGCGTGCGTGTGTGTGTGTGTGTGTGTGTGTGTGTGTGTGTGTGTGTGTGTGTGTGTGTGTGTGTGTGTGTGTGTGTGTGTGTGTGTGTGTGTGTGTGTGTGTGTGTGTGTGTGTGTGTGTGTGTGTGTGTGTGTGTGCACGTTTGTAGTCGAGCCGCGCGCATGGAGAGCAGAGAGGTTAGAAGTTGCCGTTGGGGCTCGAGGTCGTTTTGCGCTGCGGACGCTCGGCCTACGTACCGTTGTTATTTTTGAGAGTGCGCAATTCTTTCCTCGTCTTCGTCCGCAGCAAGACGCTATACGACTGCCCAGACGTGACATCAAGCGCGTCGGTGTTGAACGGCCTGACGAGTGTGGACTCGACCTCGACGACGCGCATGACGTGGGCGTCAAAGTGCAAGTTGAGCAGAGCGAGGGCCTGGGCGCCGATGACGCGCACCCTGTACGTGACCCCGGGGTCGACGTGCAGGACGCTAAGGCGTTTGGCATCATCGCCGCACTCGCCCTTGCGCACGTCACAGTCGAAGACGGCGCGGCCATTGATCAGCAGGCTGTCGGCGTCGCCGACCCACTCGAAGTCAGGCACGGGCTTCTTCAGCCCCTCGCTCATCTCGCGCTGGTCGCGGTGCCACCACTCGCCCAAGACCAGGACTCTCTCGGGGTAGTCGCCCACCACGCTCTCGTCGCCATGCACGACGATGGCGCCGGACATGGTCATCTTCTGCATGGCGGAGTGCGAGTGCCACCAGAGCGTGCCCGGGCGGTCGACGCGGAAGCGGTACTCGAAGGTCTGCCCCGGGGCGATGCCGCACTGGGAGACGCCGGGCAGGCCGTCCGCGTGCGGCGTGCCCACCTGCTTGACGCCGTGCCAGTGCAGCGACGTGACGGCGCTCGGGAGGGCGTTGTAGACGCGCAGCACGACGGTGTCGTTGACGCGGGCACGCAGCAGCGTGCCCGGCTGCCGCCCGTTCACCACCGGGTGCAGAGGCGGCGGCGACTGCCCGCCGTCTGCCGAGACCGGCGCCAGCGAGACGGTCCAGGCATACTCGCGCAGGGCGGCGTGCGCGGGCGCGAGTAGCAGCACGAGCAGGAGGAGGAGGGCGTGCATGGCGGCGGGGGGGGGGGGGGGGGGGGGGGGCCTCAAAAAAGAAAAGGGACCGGGGGGGGGGGGGGGGGGGGCTTAATGTTTAAGAAAA